GCATCATTTTTCAAATTTTATTGATCGCAAATGTCCAGAAACTGTAACGCACCACTCCAGGGTAGACGTCATCACATAGGCCTGGATCACCACAACTCTCCTCCCTCAAGAGAGCTTCGTCAAACTGGCTTGCTCTTCTGACGGGTCGTCGGAGTGCCAGTGGGGTATTCTCGTTGGTAGGCATTCCGGGAATAGGGGACTGCTGCCTTTGATCTTCTGTAGTTGTTGATGGCGTGTCGCAAGGCGGGTTTTCTTGGGTTTCTTCGGTAGTGTCTTCTTCCGAAGTGGGAGTTTCGTGGAAGTGAATTTAATCGATGTGTCGTCAATGAACCGTCGCATCTGTTAGATCTCTGANGATCTCTGATCTCGACCATCGCTTGACCAATCTTGCGGGTAATGATTCCTTTTGATGGTCTCAGGTCGTTTCCTCGGAAGAATACGACGTCCCTTGAATCCACGCATCGTAGTGAGGACCGCAAGCTTCTGGCTTTGAACAGTTTTGCTGGGCTGTCTTTGGTGGTATCGTGTGCGGCATACCGGTATTGCGGCAGGAAGTTGTCTAGGAGTATCTCCAACTCTGAAATTGTCCTTGGATTTGCAGAGGAAATGGCACTCTTCACCGTTTTCACCAAATTTTCTGCTGCGCCGTTCGAGCAGGGGCGACGTGGTGCGGTGCGTAGATGTCAGCAGCCAATACTGTCCAGCCAAGTTTTCAACTCCACAGAGCAGAATTGCGATCCATTGTCAGTCACCAACACTTGAGGAATACCTTCTCGACTGACACATTTTCGCAGTACCCGCATCACGAACGACGTGGTTGATGTGCTGAACAGAAACACTTCAGGCTATCGTGTCGCTATCCTGTCACCCGTGAAGGGCCACAGTGTTCTGTTCTAGGACCTGTACTGTTCCTCCTGTTCGTGAATGACCTGCCCTCCCAGCTGAGCTCATCTTGCCTCCTCTACGCGGATGACGTGAAACTGTGGAGAGCCATGAGAACACCAAATGAGCACCATGTCCTCCAAGAGGATTTGGACAAGTTGCACCACTGGGCTGACGTCTGAGAACTTCCAGAGAACTCGTCAAAATGCGCTCATATGCGCCTGGGGCAGGAGACACCGGGTATTCCTTATCTGATGAACAACGTCCCACTGCGTTCGACGACCACCGAGAGGGATCTGGGAGTTATTATCTCCGCATCCATGAAGACGCAGATGAACGCCGCGCGAGCATGTTCTACGACAAGGAGTATGCTAGGTACCATCTGTCGGTCGCTTGATGGATTGTCGTTCACAGCCTTCAAGGAGCTGTGTGGTAATCGGAACATTATTGAATTTAGGAATACGAGAATCCGTACAGTACTGCTCAGAACTGAATTGGCTCCAACCCGAACTGAGGACACCAATGAAATACACGAGGAATCGACAGCAGCAAATGCTTATGTTTATTGAAGGAAT